AAAATTTCCAAGTTTTAGCAAGCACTTGAATTGTTATGGCTAATCATTAAATATGAAGACAAACATACTTTTTTTATCGATTGTGATAGTGCTAGTGTTAAAATTTGTTATAAAAAATTATCTATTACATTCCAAAAGAATATCTCCTTAATAATATAAAACTTAATCGCCCGCTCAGAGTGCTGAAATACAGTAAACTTTTTTTATAGAGGGAATTTGTCTTTGTATTATTTCTTAGTTATGAGTAAAATACTAGCAATAAAAAATGTAATATTGAAACCACAAATAATTTAATAAACACGCATATTACTTTAATATAAATACACTAAAAGTTGGATCTGTTTAAATAAATGTTTTTATTCGTTAATATTGATATCATTCTCCTTCAGAACTTCTACAGCCTTTGAATGACCATTTAACGCTGCCAATTTTAAATACTTAATGCCTAAATCTGAATTTGAAAGAGATGATAAATTTCCCTTTAAATGCATATCACCCAAGTTATACTGAGCCATAGCATTGCCTGCATCCGCAGCTTTCGTTAGATATTTGATAAATTTTTCACAGTTATACTTCACATCTGAGCTTTTATCAGTCATCATAAGTGCATAACGGAAACAAGCATCTGTATTATTATCTTCTGCGGCCTCCTTAAATAAACTAGCAGCCTGTATTATGTCTTTATTCACAAAAACTCCATCAGCTAGATAACGTGCCTTCCAATATTTCGCAGTGCTATTTCCTAGATCAGAATGAAGCTCGAAAATTTTCCAGGCCTTCTCATACTCTTTATTTTTATGTGCAGTAATTCCTTCTTCAAGCGATTTGATCTCTGTAATAGACGATTCATGCGATTCTGTAATAGACTGTTGCTTATTTGATTTCGATCCATCTAAATCTAAATGACTATCAGGATAAAGAGAAGTTCGATAACATGGTTGATTACATTTTAATGATAATTGTTCAAGTTTTAAGAATATTTCAGCAAGTCTAATTCTATCTTGTGGATTTTCTTTCCAGGCTAAATAAATATAATTTTACTAGAGTTAGCAATATTGATATGACAACAACCATTTGTATATCATTAAAATAGAAAATTCTTTACCCGCAGTAATGATTTCTTTTAAACCTTGTTGAAGCCTTTGATTCTCTAGAGTAGTCGATCCAAATTTGATCTTTTCGCGGTTGCCGTTTTTAACATGTTCCATTATTTGATTCGTACCTGAAATTTCTTCATACGGAATTTTTTCAAATATCAATTCCCAAATCAGCATTCCAAAACTACAATATTATTATGTTATTACAAGAAAAAATGATAATATGTGAAATATATTAGATATGTAATTATGCTAACCTGAAAATTTCACATTTAAAGTTATATCTATGTTTAGACATCTTTTCAGGTGCCATCCAACGTACTAAATCATTTACATTTTCAATTAATGTCAAATTTTGTTCGGTTTCGCGAGAATATTTGAAATTCGTGATTTTTGGTTCAAGTCTTAAAGTCATCTATATTTTATGAACAATAACATAAGATTAAAAGACAAAATAATTACTTTCAATAAAAAAAGCATATAAAATTACCATGATGTTTTCACATTTAATGTCATGATGAAGGATATCACAACTATGCAAAAATACCAAACCCAGACAAATATCCAAAGCAATGTGAACTTTTTCAACCCAATCAATATCTTGATTTAGATACAATTCTTTAAGATTTCCATTATCTGCCCATTCAAACACCATCACTTGATTGTCATCCAAATTAGAAAGCCCATAAAATTTTAAAATATTTGGACACTCCTTTAATTTTCCTAAAATTACAAGTTGCGCCTGAATTCTTTGATTCAAAGATGTCCCGTCTACAACATTTGTAGATTTGCATGCAACATTATTTCCTCGATATAATTTTCTCACTATGGATTTTCCGGCACAAAGTTTTATTTCTTCGTATGGAAGATCATCTAATTCTTTTGGATTAATTTTAATTGCTTTCAGGTGATTAATTTGATTTCCCACATTATTAGAACCATTGATTAAAAGACCAACTTTCTCATTAATAATCTGTAATTCATTGATAATTGTATTTATTTGTGAATTATTATCCGTGATGCCTCCGGCAATTGTTTTGAGAAACTAAAAAAAATCAGAAAAATTTATGTAAAAGTTTTTAAAATATTCATAAATGCGGTGGCCGAAAGCTGAAAAATTTTACCTATTTTATCATTAAAATTTTGAGTTAACATTAATTTTAATAACTTTTATAGATCTGAGATCCACAGTAAATTTTACCTGTTTCATCTCTTCAAAATCAGCATTAAGATTTTCTTGGTCTAATTTTCTTTGTTCTTCATTAGAAATAGTTATCGTGAAATGTAAATCACTCATACTCTTATCAAACTCAGAAATCAATTTCGTAAAAGTTTCTTGAACCGAATTCGCAGTTGCATATTTTTTCCAGCCTGACAAGTTTGAAACATCATTCATGAAATTTTTTATTTTCTTTAATACTTCAACAAATCTGTAAAATGCTTTATGATCGCAAATTCTGAGCTGAAATTGTAAGATTTTAACATTAATCTTTGCAGTATTGACTCTAACCAATAGTGAAGCACAAATTTTTTTATTGTGTTTAGCATTGTCGTAAATTTTCATTACTTCAGATACAACTACAAAAACAGTACTAATCAGAGGAACGAAAGGCTGTACTGTGTCAGCCAATTTTCTAACTACATTTAAGATGTCAGAATTAGTGCCTAAAGTAGCTATGCTTTGGGCATCATCAAGAACCATTTCCAAAGTCTCGGCCATTATTGTTATTTACAAGCAATATGGATTTTTTTAATCGTTTTGATGAGAATTTAGAAATTACTATTTTCTCAACCATTTATAAATTTTAAGCTATGTTAATTCAAAGGAACTAATGCTGTATCTTGTATGAGGTACGTTTCGTTGTTGAACAATACTTTGTTCATTATTAAAGTTATGAACTAAACAAAGAAATTGGAAATACATAAAGATGGTAACTAATTAATAGGATGTAATAAATTTAGCTTGTTTTAGTCGACATAACTATGATGATACATCTTGTGTATTACCGTTACCGTTACATGTCCTAAATAAGACACAATGGACGTCGTAGCGGTAGTAAGTTTTGATTGAACACAAAATTACATGCTTGACATTTTAATTAATATTCAAGATTGATTTAAAAACATTACTAAAATGAAAGTGACAATTGTTATAAAAAATTTAATAACGTTCAGATAAATTTTAATGAATGTACAAAAGTTGCGTTTTTGATGCATCCTATTTATCAAAATCAAAAAGGTAACTTTGAACTTTTCGTCAGACCTGCGGAAAGTTCAAAGCTACCTTTTTGATTTTGATAAATAGGATGCATCAAAATGCAACTTTGTATCGACGCAACTTTGAAATGTACTGGATAGAGAAAATTTGGTAATTACCCGTTGCTGTATTTAAATTTTACAAAGATCAGAATATTATAGCATCAGATCAGCTGCCAGTTCACAAATTGTTGAATAATAACGATAGCACTATAATTTTTTTAGCAGTGAAGTTATAGTAATAGCAATAAATATATGATTGCATTAAAAGTCATGAAACAAAGAAGTGTCCTATTGCTTGCGTCATTATAAGTCTACTCTACACAAATATATAAAGAGGTAAAATATAAACCCACATGCACTCTCTTAATGTAAGATTTGACCTTAAATCCTAGCCCAAGCCTAAAAAAGCTAAAAAAGTGTTATTTTCACGTGTAAATAAGAAAATTTGGATGCATTAAAGCCTCGTTTGTTACTGCTAAGATGATCTCTTGTCAATAAATTTAATATAAAAATTTTCTAATTAACACATTGAATCTGTGTGAATCTGCAATAAAGTAATACTGTACAAATATTTATTTAAAGAATACAAGATTTAAATTACTATGAATTTTGTTCAATAATTATAGACATCTTGTAATGAAATTTCTAATTTTAAAGTAGCGTATTGTGATAGCTTGCGAGAATTTTTTTTTGTTAGAACCGAAAAGTGGTTTCATAATCTTAAGATATAAACAATTTATTTAAAGAGAATATAATTCTACATTAAACCAAATCTTGCATTCTGACCGATTTTTCTATCTAAAAATACAAAGTTGTTAGTGCATTTTGGAAATAATACAAAGTGATCACTTGTAATTATTTAAAAATAAATAAAAAAACAAAATTAAATTTTAAAACCAATTGTAAATAATAGTAGCTAATAAATTAATTAATAAAGAAAATATTAAAGCATATAAAGTTTAAAGGATTTCTTCAAACTTTGAACTTGGAATAATTATCCAATTATTGAAAATGAACAAAAAAGAAGATTATGACTTATTAGTGATTAACAATCTAAAATCTCAAAAATTCAATGTAGAATTTTCGGGAAATTTTTCTAAATTCTCTACTATTAAAGTTACTGTTAAAGCCCCCTTTGATAAATTTGTTTATTATCTCATTATCTGGCATGAAGTGATTTCTGATAAAAATGGTTATCTGGCACTATGTAATACATTAGAAACTCAAGCTCAAGGAGTTCAACTGCAAAGATGTGCAATTGTTACCAACTCTAAAACCTCTAATGCTGAAATGCAATCATATGCTGCGAGTACTAAAAAAATTCTCAGAAAACCTAATTACAATGAACGTACAATTACACATTTTTTAAAAGAAGAATTTTTCAATATTTACATAAGAGATAATTAACTAATTTAAAAATTAATGTTTTTCTAATTAGTTATTTCATTCAAAATTTTTGATATATAAAAACATTTAATTTTTTCTTATATTAATTTTTAACAAGTAGAATATATAGTACTTAAAAGAAATTCTTGTTTCAGACATTCTTTAAAAAGGAACGATATTTTTTATTTGATTATAATGATATTTCTTTACTATTAGCTAAATGGTTTCGAAGAAATTCCTGCCAGATTTAATTCATAGATATATGACTATACATGGTTTTTTCTGGTTTGGAAGTGCATAATTTAATCAATTTTAGTTGTATCGGAACAATTATTACATTAAAAGTAATATTTTGGTTTTTTTTTTAGATCATTATGACAATTCTAATTAACAGTCATTTATTTAATAAATTTAAAAAGTAAATTTTGCTTATTTAATTATAAGAGTATTGAATTGGTTGACAATGCCTGGGAGTGAAGTTTCTAAATTGAGGAATATTTTCATCAATTTTTACTCGTTGTTCTGCTGGTATTATTGTTATTTCTTCCATGCTATCTAAAATGTTTCTCCAATTATTTACAATAATTTTTAACACATTTCAAATTTCCCACATCATTGAAATTAATTTCAATCCTCTGGACAGTTGTAGTATGTGATCTTTAGTTGGGAATGGTATTTTAATATTATGGAAAGTAGTAGTGCATATCAATGGGTGAGCTCTCCTGTCACTAATTGTCGAAATTAATGATGTTTCTAAAAAATATTCATGTTGATGAGTAAATTATAAATTATAAAATAATTTAATTGGGTAATAAACTTAAAAAATAATATCTACGAGTAGATTGAATTGTAATAAGGGGGCTATCGTAAATTTTTTTCGCAATGTCTTCATTTATTTTATTCCCATGTGTATGCTGAAAGTCTCTTAGAAGTTCATCAAGATTTAGTTTTATAAGCTGCTGGAGTCTTTCTGCGTCTTCTTGACGCTTTTTTCCTTTTAATTCTGGGTTAGCACCTTCTACATATAGAATTTCGAACTGGTTGTCTTCAAGTTTTAATCTTACAGTTCTGTCTGGTTTACGATTTTCTTCATTTCCGAGGTGTTTCGAAAGAGTAGCACATGTGCTAAAATGTATAAATATTAGATGGTTAAGAATTCTTCATTATATGCCAAATTAATTTTTCTCACTTACGAATGAACAGACAGCCCAGGAATGTCACGCACAGCAGCTTCTAAAAATTGATGAATTGTATCTGTCAACCAAGTTTCCTCTGAAATTTCTGTTATGGATATGTCTTTATATTTCAAGAATATATTTCGGCTAAAATAAATCTTTGTCAGAATTGCGTCTAATAGAAACATCCAAAATTAAATACTCACATACTGCATAACATTTTTAAAAAAAATATTTCGTCTCCCCTGTTATACTTTAGTTTGTTAAGGTTCGGTGATGTTAAATCATTCGTAAGAGACTCCCAACTATGTTCAAACCAAATTTTAGCATCATCAGGAAGAATAAATCTATATTTATCATTAATTATACGAAGTTGTTTGAACTCAGATGGAAAATGATCAAACACAACGGGCGGGATAGTATCGGTATTGATATGCCAACTTCGGAGCGGTTCATTTTCAGGCAACTGTTCCAAATCAGAACTTATAACTGCTTCAATTAATTTATTAAACTCATTAAACTAGCCTAACAAATTGTAGTTAAGTGATGAGCATTAAAATAATTCCATACTTGATCTTATTACCTTGACACGCTTTGCAAATCGTAAACGATTCTCTGATTCGTGAATTCTTTTTCTTACATTAATTGGATGATGTGGTGATGACGCAAATTCTTCTTTTGCTATCCTTTTGAGGTTCCATTTCCCAACCAGATACCAGAAACAAAAATGCTTACTTTCTGCCTGAGATAAAATACAAACAAAATCAGTTCTTTATAATAATTATTTTAAATTTTAATAAAAATTTCTATCCTCATTGCATATGGTTCTCTTTAAAATAAATAAATAAATAAAATAAAGCAGAAAGCACTACTAATCAAAAATTTTAAATTAATCATTCATTTGGAATATATAGTAAGGAAAAGGTATAGTAATGAGTGCGATAACTATTAAGTCCGGTTGCCCGAAACTTTAATAGTATTTGATAAGGAGGAGAAATAATAATGTAATGCCCAGTTGCCGAAGCTTTAATTCGATGAATGGAAATGATAAAGTTCGGTTGCCCAAAACTTAATCAATCTAAATATAAGAACAAAACTCAACAAATGTGAAAAATTATAAGATCCGGTTGCCCAAGACTTATAGTGATAAAAACATAAGTTTGTTTAATCATCGGCTTAATAAGCTTAATACGATATTTATCTAATTATTAATGTACCTGTTTAGTCTTAAAATCGTTTACTTCACTTTCTGCATTTTCATAGCATTTAAAAGTAATGTTCTTTGAAAATGTCTGATACATGACCTCTTTAAACCAACGTAACGTATTCTCTGGTGACAGTATGAGATGAAACGATGATTTTGTAATGATAAATGTTATAAATGCTTTAAGGTTAAAACAATTTAATGGAGTTTTCTGAGTGAATTCCTAAAAAAATTTTATGATAGGTATGTTAAAGTCGAATTAAAAATTGAAGTGTATTTATTTGAATATTACCAGAAAGTTATCTGAAGTCAGAGCATTGAATGGGGAGGCATTTTCAAATGCACCTTTCTCAATACACAACTTGGTCATAAAAAGATTAGGACATGTAACTGTAATTATAAAAAAATATAATGGTATATGTTATAGATAAATATCCTATTATTATTATCTTGAAAGCTTACAAAAATAAATTTTGGTTCACTAGGAGGCATTACAAATTATCGCGCAACAGCTTTTTCCCAAGACCATTTTAAATGAGAATTAATTTTTCGATTAATTCACACCCCTATATGTACTTATATATAGAGTTCTAGTGATCTATCGATATCGATAATCTGCATAGAATACACGAGTATTTTAGCATCAGTGGATGCTGAAATAAGTCACATGATTAGTCAGTTAAGTATCAATATTAAAAGCCTTTTTTATTTAAATATACTAATGCTAATGCTAAAAATTTTCTACAAACTTGTTATAACAATATTCTTTTAATCATAATATTCAAAAGGACATTATTTAGTAAAATCCAATACTGTAAATTAATTTCTGTATCAAATTTTAAAAACTAAAAACTCAATTTAAAATTGAATAAAACTTTGATTTATTACTGGATAAATTTCTTATTCATTACCGTATTTATCCCAAACTGGAAAAATCATAATCCCAAGCTCTGGCAAAATCCATCCTTTTGGAGAAGATGAAAATAATTTACAAAATCTTCAAAGACTCGAATTAATAGATAATACTATATAATTAAATAGAATTATACTTAAGTCAAAATGCAAATCACAAATTATTTATAATAAATGAGAAGGAGTTAGGCAACGAAGTAAAAGATGAATTTATTTTTTTGCTTAGTCAAATTATCCAAACAAACAACTTTATGCTATGTGACTAATAATCTTATGTTCTCTTCTATACCTGAAAATTTTCATAGCCTTTGTCAACTACAAATAGGAGGATTTGCTTATTATAGTAGTCAAGATTATTTACAAGCGTTAATCAAGTATTTGTCTTGCTTTTTAAAAATTCTTAGCTTACTTAATATTTATGATTATAGTTACGAAAGCTTAGATTGTTTTATTCAAGAGTTTGATATAGAAAGGGTGAAGTTAGAAGTTTTTATATTACCTTTTAATGTTGAGCTTAATCTACTTTCAAATTTAAAAAAATTTATTGAAAAAACTAAATATTTAAAATATATAGAAATAGTGAGATCAGAGAATTACAATATAGGAAAACAGAAAGACTGCGAAAAAGAAATAATTGACCTTTATCATGTTAGAAACATCAAATGCGTATTAAAATTTCAATTAGAGACATATAAGGACTATTTTTGTACTTATAAGATAAACTTTGAATCCTGTGAGAATAACTAATGTTTAGAATTAATGATACTTTCCAAATAACATATTTGATGCGCAATAAATTTCCTTGTAACATTCAACGTTAATGTAAAAAAACTTATGCAGAACATGCCGTGACTTAAGATTAAAAAATTGATTAGATGAATTAAAATTAAAAAAATATTCAGATATGGAATATATTAACAGATTTTTAACATACAATTAAGTAAGATCCCAAGATCCAATTCAAATAATGCATCAAAAAGCCTATGATAATTATACTCATCTTAATAAAACAAACCCTTACACTAAGGAGATTTTTTATTTGTTTGAATAATGTCTTTGTTTTATTTATTTTACAACATTAAAATGGTGTGAACGGTCTAAAAACATGGGAAATGTTAATAAATGATTCAAAGATAATGAAGTAAATAATACCGTCTCATAATATGATATCGGTGATTTATTTTTATGAACAAGAATTGGAGTAACCCTCCGGAATAAAAAAATCATACAGTATTTAGAATTAATGTTGACAAAGACACCAGAGCCTTAAATTATTTGTTTATTTAGAAGAATTTCGGTTGAATAAATAGTCATTTTGAATTTTCCTTCTAATGTCTTTAAACTTCCTGCATCAAATGTCGCAGTTGCGTTAGTAGCGTAAATTTTAATTTTGAATTTTATTCCATTAGCTTTGTTTTTAGCAGTAGAATGCTTTTGTTCATTTTTCACAAGTCGCATTTTTATCAATTTTTTTTAGTAAGAAATAAATTAGCGTTCAGAGTAAATGTCCAGATTATGCTGTTTCAATTCAGTTTCTGTGTTTAAACAATAGCGATTAGAAAATTGCTGAGGCATAAACTACCTTTTAAATACAACTAAGCCAAATGTACAAATATGCAACTATTGACTATAAATGTAGTCTACTATATACAAAATTATCTACGTATACTTTTGCATAATTTGAAGTCAGGATCATTATCTACATGTCAAAATTTTCTTTATTATATATGTAAAATAAAATAATAAAAATAAAATCCAACAAAATAAAAGAATAAAATTGTAAAATAAACATTTTAATTCCTATAGCATAGTAAATTTGATTTTAAAAGACTATTAGTTTTTTTAACCCGAAAATTAAATTTAAAATATTGATTTTACTTAACCTTTTTCTTCTCAATTTTTTTTCTAAATTCGTTAGGTATAGTTGTAAAGTTTCCATATCTTGATCTTTTCTTTTTTGCAAATCTTCATACAATTTCTCTAAATCAGCGTAATTGTTTTTTAACACACTAAGTTCATTATTTAAATCTCGAATCTGTGAGTTACATTCACTTTCATCATCTAATATTCTAATCTTAAGTTCATTATCACTTTCCGGCAAAATAATTTTAAAATTATGTTGACTTTCTTTTTGAATGATCATTTTTTGTGAGCGCAGTTTATTTATGGTTCGGGAAAGAACTTTTATTTGTTTTTCATAGTAATCACAAAGTGCTTTTGTGGGATCGCTGTTTTTGCGAAGATGTCTTGTATTTTGACTTACAGATAAATGAGGCATAATTAATCAATGAATCACTCAAATAATGATAAAATCATATTTATAAAAATCTGTAGTGATATCATTAAGTATCAGGTATTGTAAAACAAAGACAATATAGCAATGATAGCATAACTCTATTGAACAAAGTGAATTTATTCAAATTCAATTCATAAATTTTTTATATACCATCCTTCAATTTTCGTGAAATTTTAGCACAAGATATCACCTAGTTTAAGCGAGACTTAACATTTATTTTGTAAAATTATATGTTTAAAACTATTGAACAAAATACTATAAAAACCATTCGAACCAAAATCCTATTGATATAGAGAGAAGTTTCCATCAAATCAATATACCAAACGAAGCCTATTTGCTCTTTACCTAATTCAGAAAGTAGTGTCTAAGTTAAATTCTCTAAAGAAGAGATTAATTTTGAGACTTGTGTAATTTTGCGTCCTTAAAAAGTACAAATAAGTTACTCGCATTTGAATTACATAAATCTATGACTAAAGCTGGCTTTTTGTAAAGCTGATAACATCCCTATTTAAAATGTATAAATTACGATTACGTACCATGAATTGTATGTGTTTCTATTTTTAGGTCAGTTAATATACTATTATAATAACTACTAATAGTATAGTTCACGATTGGTAGACAGATCTATCTTTAGATGGACCTCTACATCGAATTTTGTACAATTATAGATTTAATTCAATATTTACTATGATTATTTTTTTTTGTATTAACTAAATATGTTTTTGAATAAGCAATTTAACATAGTTTCGTATAAATAGGAAAACCAGAGGTGCGAACTATAAACTATTATTTATAATAAATAAACTAATAGTTTATTGTAAAACTGTAGTATGTAATTCATGGAAAAACAGAAAAATTTTGCAATATTGGGAAGATCATTACTTAACGTTAAATCAAATTACTATCGCTATATACATACCAAGGTCACAAGACAAGTCTATTAATTTCAAATTTTTAAAATTGTATGTGAACTACTCTTACTTTGAATAAATTTCAGTTTGTAGTTCGCATTTCTAATTAAATTAGATTATATAGATAGAAAAAGCTTTCATATGACTAGAGTGTCCAGACTTTTGCGATTTCAGTGATCTTTCATTGTTCAAACAATGAAAAATCCCAAACGGCATACACTCTAGTTAATGGTACTGTATACAATCAATCTTTAATTGGTTCTCTTGGTAAATATCTGATGCAATATTTATAAGATCGGCAAATTTTTACTTGGCTACATCTAATTATTCAAATCTGTTAAGAATTGAGCCCTCCTTAAATATTTATAGGTTCTACTTTGATTATTCAAAGAAATACGTTTACATTTCAGCACCCAAATGCTCTCTGATATTTTTTACAAATTTTTCAATTCTTTAATACTAGTTCTCAGATCATCTTTGCTCAATTTATTATTAATATTCATCCCATTAGAAATTTTGGCTTATATTTTTAATTGGCCTTCAGGATGCATTTTCTTTTTCAATTGCTTAGAAATTATTCTCTTGGCAAATTTGTTAAGTTTTGTCACTGAGGATATTTCTTTAAAAGCCGGACCAGCTAAAGCGGAGTTATTAAATGCTACTTTTGGAAATGCAACAGAATTAATTATTTCTGTTTTTGCTCTGCGTGCTGGAGAAATTAAAATAGTTCAGTCTTCTATGTTAGGTTCGATTATTTCAAACATTTTATTAGTGTTAGGGACATGTTTTCTTACTGGAAGCATTAAGTATAAGACTCAAAAATTTAATCAAACTGCTGCTCAGACTAGTTTGAGTTTGATGACCTTGGCTTGTATAAGCTTAATAATTCCTGCTACATTTAACTTTTCTTTAAGCAATGACAATAAAGAAACTTTATTATTATCTCGTGGAACTGCAATAATATTGTTATTAGTTTACATGCTTCATTTATTATTTCAATTAAAAACACATTTACATTTATATAATGAGGAACAATTTTTTACACAAGATAGGGAACAAGTTGAAGAGCCACAATTATCTATTATATCTTCTATAATGTTTTTAATCATTATAACTGGTCTTATTTCTTTATCTTCTGAATTTTTAGTTAATTCATTTGAAGGAGTAGTAAAAACTCTTGGTTTTACAGAAACTTTCATTGGATTAATAATTTTACCAATCGTTAGAAATGCTGCTGAGGTATTATTTGAATTATTATGTTTTATTCAATAACTTTTATAATGCGAAAATTTTTATAGCATGCCACTGCAGTTATCGCAGCAAGAAAAAATAACATGAATATAGCAATTGGCATAGCTGTTGGCTCTTCTATGGTAAGCTAAGTTGATTAAACTTTAGATTTAATTTTCTTTCTCAAAAATATTATAATTCTTTATTTGCTAGCAAGTTTCTTTACTTATTACGCCAATTTTGATAATATTGGGTTGGATTATCAATCAACAAATGAGTTTGTTGTTTAATTCCTTTGAAACCATTATATTGTTTATTTCAGTTCTAATTACCAATTATATTATTCAGGTAACCATATTTTATTACATAAAATTAGTTAATTTCTTGAGTTTTTGACAAATTGTCATTTTATTTACTTAGGATGGAGAATCAAACTGGCTAGAAGGAGTGATGTTGTTAGCAACTTATATAATAATTGGTTTGGCCTGTTATCTCTATAATTTTTAATTTTGATTTTGATTATTTTTCGACAAGCATCAAATTTACATTGATAACTTGTATTTAAGGAATATTTTGTATATGTTTATATTTTTATTAATAATTAATCTAAACTAAAATATATAGGATTTCTGTGATTTTTGTTAAATTTCATCAAAAATAGATCTCGTTTAAAGTAACAAACAAAAGAATGATATAAATGTTTAATTACATAATCTTAAAACTACCTACATTAATCTTGTAGATTATATATTTGTGGTCTAGGTGCTGAAAAAAGACCATGTTGACAATTTTTCATAAATCTTTTTGAGCTTAACAATCAAATCTGTTTCTTAATACGTAAAATTTAGAAATCTAAACTTTTAAAACTCATGAATTAAGTTATTCGGGAAAATCTAAGGGCATCGACATTTAATACGTAATTTTTACGAAATTATTACTACTTTCAGGCTTTTATTAAACAAGCGCAATTTTGGTTAATGTTTACTATGTATGAATAGAAAATTTCAGATTAAAATGATTTATAAAATTAATCAGTATTAAGAATCTGCATTAAAAACTGAGTTTATGCTTTAAATTCCTTTGGA